GCAAGATTAACTCCACACACCGTTTGCTAACTCCACACACCAACAAAAAAGAGAGAGAGAGAGAGAGAGAGAGAGAGAGAGAGAGAGAGGCCACCAGCTTCCTGCCCCAAGGCTGAAAAGGCCACCATAAGGATATCAGGCCACCCCGGGCTATCAGGCCACCCTAAGGCTATCAGGCCACCCTAAGGCTGAAAAGGCTATCATGCCACCCTAAGGCGGCCACCCTGGGCTTTCAGGCCACCCTAAGGCTATCAGGCCACCCTGGGCTCTCAGGCCACACTAAGGCTATCAGGCCACCCTTGGCTAAAAAGGCTATCACAGCCTATCAGGCCACCCTAAGGCTATCAGGCCACTTTGTATTTTCCGAAAAACCATAAAAGTTGATAAAACTGTGTCACATGTCGTAGAATACTTCGCTAGTGGGTCCAGCCTCCAGGACTCCACGCCCCAGGTTAGTCCGATGATGTCCCCCAGCCGTCCCACACCAGTCACACTGTTCCACTTACGTGGCTAGTGGGATCGCCCTCCTGGAATCGGAAGTTCCGCCTGTGGAACGGTTACCTTGCGGAGAACATTGTCGTTTTTTTGACAAGGGACAGAGAACATCGGCGTTTTTTTTTTTTTTGCCTCCAAGTTCTGAGTTTTTTTTGTTGTTCTTTGGTTATTTGTTTTTTTGTTTCATGTCGTCTTATGTTTTCCCTCTGATGTCCAGGTGTTCTGCACTTTGCGTTCATCGTTTTTGCCTGTTTCATAGCATTTCTTTGCCGCTCTGACACCGACTTCGATCTCTGTTGCGAGTTGGCAACATTCTCAGAGGGTTCCTACATCGTCTTTTTTTTTCGCGGTTGGCGACTTTCATCATGTCGCAGGACCGGGGGAAGGATTCGGTAGACTCGCTCACGACCGCCCGACAAGGTCATAACACGAAGATGTTTGACTCACCGTTCAAGGTCGACCCGACAGTCGACAGCAAGCGGGACGACCCGGTGTGGCATTTCGTGGTCAGAGGGCGTTATTTGGATGGGTCGACGGCGGCGGGCAGGAAGAGCGGTCGTCGATGCCTGTGCAGGTTGTGCGGGCGTTCGATTTGTGGGGGCGCTAAAGCCGCCAAGGAGCACTTCTCGAAGAGCGAGAAGTTCCGACGTGAGGCAGCCACTCCTGCTGTGTGGAATGCGATTTGGTCGAAGGACATGACAAAATGTCCAAAGGAGTTCGCGTCGGCCATAGAAACGTTGCAGAGCCACTTGCCAGGTCATCCGAGCTTGCAGTGGCCACCTCTTCGATTCCTCGAGGACGCAGTGCCGCCGCTGGTTCCTCCCACCGCCCCTTCTGGAGCCGTCGCATCGCCCAATTCTGGGGCTCCGGCCATTCGAGTCACGGTACCGCGTCCTGCAACAACAGTTGCAACACGACCGGCAGCCCCGCCGTCTGCGCCGCTGGCTGGGACACGAGGTGCTCGCGATGTGGGAGTTGGTCGTTCCACGCCAGCCAACGAGCCCCCGCCGCTGAGGGATGGTGTGGGCTCTGCGGCATTTGACGAGGAGAGCACACATGCATTTATTGAGAGTCGCAGGTGGGGGGGGAGTGCCGGTAGTTCAGCGCCCGCGCTCGCCCCTGTTTTATGGAGTGCTCGGCAGTCAGATGCCGCACGGGGTGGTACTGCGGTGGCACCTGGCGCATCACCCCGCAGTTCGTCAGAGCACCCCTGGCTGCCACCGCCACCGTCGAGAGCGGCGCAGCGTCCAATGGTCCACCACGCTAACGGAACCGCCCACCCGGATCCGTCACACGCACCTGCAGAT